GTAGCAGGCCATCTTCAGTAACTTCACCGACGCTAAATTATACAATACATTCGCTCAAAACTACAATGCTATCATGGTCTGGCCAGCGCCCGGAGGTATCCCAGCTTGAGAAGTCCTGTCAAGGCCATCATCGGCTCTCTTCGAGCCAACTTTACAGCAGGGATGATATTGTCCCATCCCTTAGGGCACAGATGAAGATCCAGCATGCTGTCCGCTCGGGCGCTCGCTTCATGACCCCCTTACATAGGGGAGCGCAATCTCCTATGGACGAACCGGACGTCCAGTTGGAAAACTACAGCAAGGAGGTTGGGCCCTGCAGCTGGCATTATTTTCGGCATTTCTCGCTTCGCTCTGGCAATAGACTTCCTTTTGTAGATCTTCCCTCCAAGGAAAATTTCCCGGAGGATCAGCAGAAGCAAGTGCCGGCTTTTCATTTGCGGGACATCCAGTCTTCCGATGAGGAGTCGGGCGATAGCTCGGCGGATGAAGGCCCTCTGCTTGGGCCTGCGGATGAGTTTCTCTTCGGTTCATTGACGAACATCCAGCATGTGTTGGTTCGTGCTTCTGCATCAAAAGGTATTCCTTATGAGGGTGCATTTGTCAGGCCAGCATGTGGAGTTTCGCTTCCAGCTGATCACATTCGCATCTCTTCGGATTTCAATCCTCAGCTTCAGCTTTGCAAGCGTAAGGCCTGCTGCATTGCATATGGCCAGATTCAGCAGTGAGTCGCATTTTGCGCAGGTGCTAAAACATAAGCTTGCTCGAGTTGCTTCTGCTTTGCGTCTGCTTCAGTCCTTTGGTTCGCATTTGTTACAAAGTAGTTGTTTGGCTCAAACCATTCCTGCTTCTCGTGACGCTCAGGTTAGCTCTGCAATAGCATGGAACTGCAGGAAACCACCGCTGATCGACGGGCCCAACTCCTCAGGCTGGTGCGGCTTCCCTACGCATCTCGCTTTGTTCGGTTCCATTTTGCAGAATGGTTTTATCTGGTACAATCAATACGGGAGTCAGCGCGTGTGCTTCAATATCTCTCCAGCTGGTCATGGCGGCAGCTGTTGCAAACATCAGACTACTTTTGGCACCGTCTCAGAATTCCGCTGTATCAGTAATATCGGCTGCCTTGCAGGTGAGCGGTTGAAAAGTTATCAGGGGGCAGGGTGCAACCGCTTTGCTACTCAGGGTTTTCAGTTGCGTTGGGCTTCTCTGGTTGTGCTCCGTCTTTGGCTCTGGTCCGGGCCTCAGCCGTGGGCTTTCGGACTTCGGGTCACGCTGATGAATATGCGCATTGTTGCTTGCTCTTCTTGGCTTCAGAAAGCATTTTGGGCTGCACTTATGCGTTACCATTATCCTGGGCTGCGGTCGGTCGCAGGGCTACTAGCCGACCCGGCCATAAAATGCTGAATATGCGTACTTGTTTCATGCTCTGGGCCTAGGCCTCGCGCGTCCCTGTAGTCTCGGCTCGGGTTCCCTCGGTTTCTGGGCACTCTAGACTAGGGGGTAGTCTCGCGCCATGTCCCTGAGTGATATTCTTAAAGCTGAAGGCCTCTCGGAAGCTCTCATCAAGGTGGCAACCGATGCGGGGTGGACTTTGTCCACCTTCCGCCATGCGGCGGATTCCCCAGCTGATCTTGAGAAAGTGATTCCAGACATATTTGGATCTTCAGAGCTTTCCCGTCTTCAGATTGCGCAAGTTCGAGCAGCGTGGGCTGGGTTGTCGAGCAGCGCATCTTCGGCCCCGCCTGCAGTTCCCACATCAGCTTCAGAGACTAGTTCTTGGGTAGAAACCTTTGCGCCAAAAATCACAGCTTTGAAGCTTACGGAGTACAAGAAAGCCTTTCTTGCCGCATACACGAGCGAGATATTGTCTCCATGCTCAATGCCTTCGCTTCGTCTGGTATCTCTGGCTGCTCATCAAGAAAGTAAGAAAGACTACAAGTGGATTCCCTGGAAGCATCGCATGTCAGAAGAGAAAGCGGCCGAGCTTCAATTGAGTAGGCCAGCCAAACAGCCGCGTTTGGAAGCGCTCGGCATTTCCAGTTTGCTTCTTGATGAGCCTCCCACGTTGGAGGTGGGCGATAACTTCATGGGTGTCAGTGCAGTGCAAAGGATCTTAGCAATCCACGATGTCGCACTGGCCATGGTAGGCTCTTGTCACCTGGCTCGCTTGAAAGCTTATAGTAGCAAGTTCATACATCTTTTGTCTCAGCGCCACGAAGCTTCATCAGGCTTGCGAGCTCCCACAATTCTAGAGGCCCAGCAGGCTGATTGCAAATTGTGGCAGGGGATTTACGCTCTGGTTCTTGAGAAGGATTGGAACTTGAACGATGCAATCTTCGAGTATACTGAAATCAGGGGTGACATGTCAAATTTGCTTCAGGCTCGGGCTAGGCCCCCTCCGCCCCTGCGCTTCAATGAGAAAGGCATCAAGGGCAAAGGGCTTGGTCGCTTCATGTCGGAAGCTTGGAAGGGCTACAGCTTTGAAGGCAAAGGCAAAAGCCCCGGCAAGGAAAAAGGCTCCAAAGGCAAACCCTCGGGCAAAGGGGGTTCGGGCTCCTGGGTGAAGCATGTTCAGGTCAATGGCGAGACCAAACAATTGTGCATGCAGTGGCAATCCGGGAAATGCAGCAGGGGTGCGAGCTGTGCATTCTTGCACAACTGTGCGTACCCGAAGGGTGATGGCTCCGCATGCATGAGCAAGGCCCACAATGCCCTCAACCATGCTTCGACTTCGCGCTGACAATCCCAAAATGCGCTAGTTTCACCGGCCTCCAGGCCGGCTGGCTTTCTAGGACCGGCCGCCTCAGCTCAGCTGCAACATTATTCATCACACTTGCCAGCTTCGAATTCATGTGCTTCTAGTGTCCTACAGTCTTCGGGTCAGGACCCGCTACGTGTTCATGAAACACCTGCGAGTTCTCGACCTGCTTTTGCTTCCCCGTGCGCGGAACAGCTTTCACCAGCCATTTTGGCAACACAACACCCAGCTTCGCTTTCATCACAATGCGTTACCGCTTCGGCTCCGGAGTTCGGAGGTGCTGCTTGCAGGGAATCTTTCCCTGGCGTGGTGCCCGGGTCGGGCATAGCATCGGAGCATGTGGCTCCAAATGCTCCGCAGCTTGCGGGCGTGCGTCAGGGTTCAGCTTCGCTTCACAGTACACACAGCAGTGCATTGCAAACCTCGACCACATCAGTGGCCTCTGCTTCTGAAGTTCATGTCCATGATTACGCTTCATGCCTAGCGCTACTTCAGTCAGCTTCTTGGCCACCGCCAGGCTCGCAGTCTCGCCCAGTTGTTTCGGCAAATTCTGTATCATCAGGCTACTGGAACTTTGGCTGTCAGGTCAGCGATCGTTCGGCACTCACTCGTGTGTCTCGAGCTCTGCCGTCTGTGTGCAAAGCCCTCAATAATTTTCTGCGCTTACAGTTCCCAGCAGAGTCCTGGAATGCGCTGTGCGTGGCCAAGAATGTGGTCACTTCTGCTCATAGAGATACTGCTAATGTGCCGGGATCTTTCAATCTTTCGGTTAGCTTGGGTTCCTTCTCTGGGGGTTCGCTTTGGCTTGAGGATGCATCAGGCGACCAGTCGCGCTTCATACCAATGCTTAACACCTCGCTTAAGGGGAAAATCATTAGCACGAAAGAAAACCCCATCAAGTTTCCGGCTCATTCCTGGCATATGACAGAACCCTTCTGTGGGGAACGTTGGGTCCTGACAGCCTTCACTATGGCAAACTGTGAAAAATCCCTTCTTGCCCCGCTCGATTTCCCTATTATTGCATCCCCGCCCCAGGTGCCTTCCGAGCGCCCGCCGATGTTGCAGCGGGCCGAGCCACAACCAGCTGCTTCCGGGTCTTCTGTTAATTGGGGTCAACCTTCGGCTTTCGGGTTTAGGCACCACTCCCTAAGACCTCCACTGCCAGTCCCGCCCCCAAAGAGTTCCTCGCATGCACTGGATGCTCTCGCGAACATCCCTCAGCGCTTTTTCCTCGACTTATGCTCGGGGGTGCACAAGCCACTTTCATGCGCTGTGGAAGCGTGTGGTCTTGCTACGCTTTCTATTGATATTCTTTTGGACCCAGCTTTTGATTTGCTGCAAGATGATTTCTTCGAGCAGCTTTTGTTCATTTGCGGTTCAGGCGCTGTGGGATACTGCGCAGCATCTCCAAGTTGCTCGCATTACTCGCGTTTGAAGCTTTCAGGTGGGCCACCTTTCCCGCTTCGCACACCGGAATACCTGGATGGGGTACCTGGCTTGGGTCCTTCAGACCTAGCTAAACTTCAGGAAAGCCATGAAATCCTGTCGCGCTGCTGCAAATGTGTCTCCATAGTCTATTCAGCAGGTGGACACGGTCATGTTGAACAACCTCCAGGAGCAATGTCCTGGGAAGAAAGCTGCCTACAGTCCTGGATTCATGAATGCTCAGCCTCTCTGGTCTGGGTGGCTGCGTGCGGCTATGGCCTGCCTTGGGCAAAATCCTGGTTGTTTTCTTCCAGCTATGCGCCATTACGGAACATGGGCTGTGTTTGCGAGCATGGGCGTGATTCACATCCAGTCATGCGCGGTCTGGACAGCTCGGGCGTGTTCAGGAGCAGGTTTACAGCTCAGTATCCAGAGGCGCTTGCAACCACTTTTGCTGCTCAGATTCAAGTTCTCTTGGACAAACCAGGCCCTCCACTGCAATTGCGCGAGGCCCTCACACTGGTGCCACGTAAGCCTATGCGGGGTGGACTCGTCCATCAAAGTGTGATTTATTTTGCAAGCCACTTTGGCTGAAATCTGCCTTTATGATTTCGGCCCTTTTATTCAATTGTTTTCTTTTCGAGAAAGTTTTTCCTTTGTCGATTTGCAGGCCGCGCGTTCGGTTTTTCACTGGTTGTGAAATCTTGGCTCCCGCGCCGGCCGGCTTAGACCTGGTACCAGGTCGTAGAAATTTCTGAAGTGGGGGCCGGAGACCTTCGGGCGAACTGGACATATGTTCCAGTCGTAGGGGCGGGCCGCCATGGCTGAAGCTCTGGATGAAATTTCAGATGAGGTGCTGCAGAGCGAAGATCTAGATCAGGCTGAGGAAGCTTCTGGCTGGGACGCTCTGCCGGCTTTGATAAGGCGCCAGCTTTCTGCGAACGGTCAGCAAATTTCGGATGCTCTGCTGTGGAACATGTTTCTGTCCGAGGATGAGATAGGAGATTTCATGGAGTCTGCAGGTTTCGTGGCAGGATCTGTGGAGTGGTATCGCTACAGCGGAGTGCTGGTTGAACTGTGGAAAGGTGCTGAACTTAAAGCTGCTCTGGCGTCCAGGAACAAATCGGTTTTGCTGGGGGCTCACCATGCAGTCTCCTCTGGAATGCAAGTGCAAGTGCCTGCGGCGGTGCAAATGACACGTGAGTCTTTAATATCTTCTGCGGCAGTCAAGAGGCAACTACATTGGCCTTGTCGGCTGGCCAAGAAACGAGCGCTGGCCAGGAACGAGGGCGGACGAGCACAGGCTGAGGCCGAAGAGCTTCAGAGATGGAGGCGCAAGCTGGCAGAAGTGTTGAAGCAAGGGAAATTTCCAATTTGCTCGCAAGCGCTTTACTTGACAAACACCGATCGTATTCTTGAGACAGCAGCGGGCAACACCAGAGCTTCCACTCTTCGCCAGAGGATTCGGGAGTGGATTCGTTTTGCTGCTTGGTTTTATGCGTTGAAGGGCGTCTTTTACGATGCAGAGCCGGCTGTGTTGGTCGACTATCTGGAGGAACTATACATGCAACCGTGTGCACGTACTAAACTAAAGAGCGTTCTTTCAGCTGTGGCCCTCGTGGAGAAGGCCGGCGGCGTGCATCCTGATGCCAGACTGTCTTTATCTCGGGTTGTACTGAATACAGTGGACACGCGCACTGCAGAGTTGGAACAGGGAGCCCCGGAGACACGTCGGGCACCCCCAGTGCCTTTAGTCATGGTTGCGTCTTTGGAGCTTGCTGTCATGGATGTGCATTTACCTCGCTACTGGAGGGCTTTTGCATGGACACGCCTCTTCAAGGTATGGACGTCCAGTCGAACAGATGACTTATTGGGGGTGCTGCCGAACAACATGCACTTGGGCGTGCAGGGCCTGAGGGGAGTTTTTGATAGGACCAAGACCTCGGGGGCAGGCCGCAAGGTGCGCTGGCTCCCATTTTTTATATCAGTGCAGGCCTGGATTATCGAGCCCGAGTGGCTCATGGTTGGCTACCGCATCTGGGCTTCTGATGGGTTTTCCTTTGAAAGGGATTACCTCGTACCGAGGCCTGCCATGAATTACACTTCTTGCAGGCCGGTGATGGCTTCGTATTCGGATCAGGCGACACTGGCCAAGCACTTGGCTACAATGCTTAAGGTTCCGATTCTCAGAGAGGGCAAGTGGCATGCATCAGAGCACGTTCTTTTCTTTGATGTTGATTGGCTGACGCTTTTGAGCGAGCACAGCGAGAGAAACTTCACCTCCTCGGTGGCATCGGCGGCGGGGGTTGACCGGGAGCGCCGGGCCTACTTGGGCCGATGGCATGTCGTGGAGTCTGGAGATGAGTATGTCAGGACGGCGTGGCAGGTCGTGACGGGCCTTCAAAGGCAGATCGTCGTGACCTTGTGCCAGGCTTCGAGTGAGCTTGTTGATTTCGGTCTGGATGCGCTCGACCTGAGGTTGCAGGAGAGAGGGGCGTCCAAAGAAAATCGTGAGCTCCTACAAAGCTCCTGGGCCATGCCGTCAGAGTGGGCTGCGTGGAGAAGAGGTGAGCTCGTTTCCTCGCCTCCTCAGGAGGCCAATCTTCCGAGGCCAGTGTCGGGGCCGTCTGAGCCCAACTTTGCTTTTTATGTGACCGTGTTGGGCAAGCGAAGGCTCAGGAGGCTGCACCGTAAGGCGGGTTGCGGGACGCAGCCGGCGAAGGTGCAGTGTGTAGAGTATTACGAGTCGTTGAAAGATGTGCAGTTCGACTCGGAGTGTCGTCACTGTTTCCCATCGGAGAAGGAGCCTCCCGAAGAGGAGGCGTCTTCGATGTCGTCGAGCACGGACTCGAGCTCGAGCGAGTCTTCTAGTTGAGGGGAACAAAGGTGAGAATGCGAGACCACATCCGTGTTTCGCTGCATGTGGGCCAGCATGCGTATGGATCACACCTTGTGTTTGTGACCTTGGTGTGTATTGACGATTGCGGCTCTGGAGAACCGCGGGTATCGTCATAGGGCATTGCATGTTAGCTCATCGTGTTCCGGCTTTGGCTAGTCGGACGGGTGCGGTGTGAGCTTTGCAATGTGTTCTTCATTTCAAATTTTCTGCTAGGTCCTTTCTAGGCTTCTTCTGTCTCGCGATTCCATGGCTGGGCTGAGTGCAGCTCAAACTGCGGATCTGGCGAAGCTTTCTTCAGATCTCCTTTTCATTCTGCAGGAGGCCGGGGTGTCTCTTCCGAGCCAAGCGCAACTAGGACATCTGGATGTGGTTTCGGTGCCTCTTTTCGCGGGTCTTGACGAGACCAGGGCCAAGGCACGCGAGGCATTAGCGGCACTGATTCCCATCGATGTCGATGCCTCAGCTGCAAACCGGCTTGAAATGGCCAAGCTCTTGGTCGCCTGGGAGGCTGCCAAACTCCAGACTGAGGCAACCCAGCGCAATCGTGCCGAGGCTCGCCTGGGCACTCAGCAAAGGCTGCTTCAGCCGACAGAACATCAGGCCATGCGCATGGCCGTGGAGAGTGTCCTGGGTTCACTCAAGGATCGTGAAGTGCCTGCAAAACAGGTTCTGGCGGCGAAGCTCGAAATGATTGAATCTAACATGCCAATCGTGGAAATGCTGACCGAGGTGGCGTCTGTGGAAGACGCTGAAACAGAATCCTTCGAGGCAAAGATTGATCCTGTCACCAACACTCTCAAGATTAAAAGTGGAAAGCACAGCGTGGCCGCACCTTCAACTCCCGAAGAGCTGCGCTTGCGCCACAGGCGAATCGGCCTAGCTTGGGATATGTTGGCTACTAAACATTCCAATCGGGCATGGCTTTCTCCGAACATGACAGACAGCCTGCGCCGCTTTTCGGATTTTATTCTAGGTACCCAGGTGGCTGGCCTTGTGGCGGGAAATCGTACCCCGCCTTGGAGTCTTGTGCTGGCTTTCGAACACGAGTGCAGGAAAGCTGTCTGCAAATGGCTGCGTGATGGCAAGGTCGCGACTCTGGCAGATGGTTACGACAAGGCCATCTCGGATGTTGAGTTGATCAATCGCTACTTTGTCATTCCGTTTTCCCTTAACACCAAAGACACCGGCTGGGCTGCAGCGAACGTGCCGCCTCCTCAGCTTCCTGGTGATACACCAGGCAGGCCCCGCAAAGGAAAGGGCAAAGGCAAGCAACCAACTTCCGACGGTCAGAACATTGCACGAGGCAAACTCACCAAAGCCACGGATGGTACGCCGATATGCTGGAAATACAATCGCCGCGGCGGTTGCCAAGATCAAGCATGTCGCTTCCTTCACATTTGTCAGAGATGCCAAGGGAAACATCCTTATTTTTCGTGCAAGCACGTCAAGCGGCAGGCCGGGGCGGTGGTGACACCACCGCCGGCCACTGACTGACTTTCAGCCTCAATGGACGAATCGAATTCGACAGCGGCCACGCGCACAGGGCATTTTGCCACTTATCGGCTGTTGTATTTGTTTGCAGGCGCTCCTCGCAAAGGCGATCTCAGTTCTGCATTGCATGATTTGGCACAGTCTGCATCGGTTTCAGTGACAGTGGAGGAATTTGATCTGGTTCGGGGGCATGATCTCCTGGCTGATGATACTTGGTTGTCCCTCCTAAGGAGGATCAAGAACGGTGACTTTACACACATTTTTATGAGCCCACCGTGCGAAACCTACTCGCGCGCACCGTGGGCCAATGGTCATGGCCCTGCACCGGTGCGCAGCGCCGACTGGCCTGAAGGGTTTCCTTGGTTAAAGGGAGCTGACAAAATCAAGGTTCAGCAGGGCACCGAGCTCATACGACGCTGTCTTCAAGTGGTGACCATGGCACATGAACTCAGGCTGCACTGGTTGTGGGAACATCCTGAGGATCTCGGACCTACGCCTCGAGGCACTCCAGCGTCTGTCTGGAGTTGGCTGGAGTCCCGCTCCCTCTTTGAACGAGTCCAGGCGTCCACAGTGGCTCTTTATCAGTGCGCTTTTGGGTCTGATTTTCGCAAACCTACGAGGCTCACGGGCACATGGGCAAACCTTCCGGCTCTCGGGTTCTCAGGCTGGCCTCGCTTCGATGCTCGTCGTTACGTGGGGCCTTTGCCAAAGAAATGCGGGCATCAACATGAACCACTGGTGGGAAAAGATGCTTCGGGCAAATTCCGAACCACACCCACCGCTGCATATGGTGAAAGACTCTGCCGGGCCCTCGCACAGTCTTTACTGGCCTCGACTCCTTCTTCTTCGTCGGGTTCCTTGGGGGACGTGGTCGCTACGGGCGAAGTGGTCGAGGATCCTTCTTCTGGTTCTTCTCCGGCATTGGCTGCCGGAGTCAAGCATGCTGCTAAGGACGCGGGCCATGCCTCATCGGTTGCGGGATTTTCGGGACTTAAACATGCGGCTAAGGATGCGGATGCTGACCTTTCTTCTTCGGCATCTGCCGCTGGACCATCGTCTACGAAGGACGGCCCTGGCCCAGCTCCTTTTTCATCTGCCACCACCAGACTGCCAGGCTGGAAACGGGCGGCTGATGAGGCAAACCTGAACGACGATGGGCCTCTGGAATGGTGGCGCCCGTCGGCCTCTAAGAGTCATTGGATACAGGATCCAGAGGGCTCGACTTCCGAAGAGGATGAAGATGGCATCGTAAAACCAAAGAGGGGTGCTGGGCGGCTTGGATATGGGGCGGCTATGACGACCAAAGCAGCGGGGAAGGTCAAGCTTTTCTCCGATGGGCATGGTCTGGCTTCGCCGGGGAGATGGCCGCCACATGCGCGTCCATGCGCGGATCTGGTGCCGGAGCTCAGCTTCCACAAGGTCTTGATGGATCGGCTGCTCTTGCTCATTACTGAAAATTTGGACTACAAGAGGGTGGTTTGTTTCTTGGCTACGGGCAAGTGTACGTCTTCTCCCTTTCCGGCCACATTCTTGGAGCAGGCAAGGTCACTAGTCTTCAAGACGATTCGTGAACGGGGCTCTATCGCTCCTCTGGAATCAGTGCCGGAGAGACAGCCCTTTTTCTTGCATGCAATTTCCGAGATGTTGAAATTTGCTGGGGATCCTGACTGGAGGCAATATACCGAGGCTACGCATTCCTTTGCAAATGGTGTTCCGCTCGGAGTGGACTTCCGCATGCCCCGGAACCCCGCTCTCTTTGAACGTAAGCGTCGCCATCGGGACTTTACTGGTCTGGGTGCACACGAATGCGAGGAGCTCCGGGATAACTATAAATCTGTGGAAGGCTACGAGGCCAAGGTTGAGCAACAGTTTGAGAAAGAAATTGCCATGGGTGCTATGGTGAAGATGAGCTTGGGCGAGGCACGTGATCGGTTCGGTGATCAACTGAACGTGGCTTCGTTGGGCTGCATCCCCAAAGGGGATGATTCCGTGCGGGTGGTGCACGATGCCACTCACGGCCAACACGTCAATGATTCTATTCGTGTCAGGGACGGCCAGTCTTATCCCTCGGGAGCGGACCTCGAGGAAGCCCTACATTCTCTGCCTTTCGCCACCTTCAGCCTCAGTGGTGATGTATCCCGTGCACACAGGTTGTCGAAAGTGCGGGAAGCTGACTGGCCGCGGCAAGGCTGCCGGGCGCGCCGGCATGGTGACATATACCTCAATACAGTGGGGACTTTCGGAGTTTCTTCTGCGAGTTACTGGTGGTTCCGTCTCATGTCTGGTCTGGGTCGTCTACTGTATTACTGCCACGGCAAGGATGAGACGACGCTTCTCTCTTATGTCGACGACTTACTGTGGATAACCCAGTCTTCGGATGGCCTTCTTCGTATACTTGCCTCCATTCTGCTGCTTTCGGTATTGGGAGTTCCTTTTGCCTGGCACAAGTTTTCTGGAGGCGGGGAGCACACTTGGATCGGCTATTCACTTTGTGTGGCCCAGCAGTGGAGGTCGGGATATCCTTGAATAGAGCCGACTGGGTGATCGGTTGGATTCGCAAGACAAGGTCCGACGGTTTGGTTCGGGTGGGGGATCTTAGGTCGGTTCTAGGCCGGCTTTCGTTTGCCTTTTCGGTTATCCCCTTGCTTAAACCCTTCCTGGGGCCGATTTACTCTTGGGCAGCGGCGGTTCAGGCTTGTCACACTCTCAGGTTGCCAAAGGCTGTGTCGTTGGTACTGCTGTTTCTCCAGAGGGCATTGGAACAAGGCCTTCGACGCGTACAAGTGCCTAGACATGCCGCGGCGCCCAAAGAACATTTCCGGACGGATGCAAAAGCCCAGGGCTCCGAGCTTTGGGTAGGTGGATGGTGTTGCGCGGATGATGCCAATCCCCGCTGCTGCAGATGGTTCTCGGAGAAAATCGATCACCTTAAATTTCCGCTGTTCTTCATGGCAGGACAATCCTACCGCTCCATTGGGGCGCTCGAGATGTTGGCAACGCTCATCGCGGTTCTTCTCTTCGAGCCGGACAAAGGCACTCAGAGTGTCAATCATTGCTCTGCAGGGACAGATAACAGGGGCAATGCTTTCATCACGGCACGGTGGATGACAACATCATTCCCATTGAATACGGTGCTTATGGAATTGGCTGCGATTCTTCAGCAGAAGTCACTACGTCTTGAGCTTCATTGGGCACCGCGTTTACAAAACGCCCTGGCTGATGCTCTGACTAATCAGCAGTATGATTCCTTTGCTCCTGAATTGCGGCTTCGCTTTGATTTCACGAATTACAAATCTATCATCCTGGGTGATCTCATGGATGCTGGAGCGGAGCTTTATGGCGATATCAAGGAGTACAAAGAGAAGTTGCGAGGGAAAAGGGCTGCAAAGCTCAAGAAAGGCGAGAGGCTTCGAGACACAGACCCGTGGGCATAGCCTTGCTCCCGTCAGCGTTGCTTGGGGGATCAGTCGTTGCGGTTCGCATCG